TAGAGCGCCTATCCATTACGATATAAATTGGTCTGTTGAGCGTAAATATTGCTAGGTTTATGCATAATTTTTTCAGTACAACTGTAGATTTATATTTATCAACACTTGATAGTAATAAGGTACTCTTTAGAACATTTCATACTGCAGTCAGTAATTCCACAGATAAATTATTCTTTTTCATCCCATGCGAGTTACCTATTCTTTTTCGAATTCTCATTGGTGCTCTTAGAAAGCTAAAGTGACAAATAACTTCTGGAATTTAAGGCGCTGCAATAAAGGTTAATCAAACTATTTTTTGGCAGGAATTACCAAACCGTTGGTGTTATTTAATGCCTTCTGACAGTGGTTTTGGACTTTTTCTTTGATTCATTTTAACTGTCCATAACTCATGAATGGAGAGTGCATAGCCGGTTTTTAATCACGAAGGCTGAGTCACTGTGGCTTGAAAGGCATAGTGACAGAAAACTCCAAACCTCATGAATTCACGGCTGAATAAAATATTTTATATTGGGACAGAGAAGGGTGGGGGTGGAACGATATTTGCGCAGCCGTCTGAGATGGCGCCATGGAAGCACCGACGACGGTGATACCCCTGCTCCGGCGTCAAGTCTCATTAATTATGGAGACCACCCTGCAAGGGGGATACCGAAACCTGCTATGCGTATGTGACTCTTTCCTCCGAAATCTGGGGCAAAAACACGGCTGCACAAGGGTGCTGATGGTGGTCAGTGGGGTCCTGGTTTTGTGATTTTAAATGAACTGTTATATGAAGATGCTGGATGCTGAAATTCCAGTGGTTTGTATTCCTCCTCTCCATTTACCCTCTCTCCAAGCATGCCATGGCACAGGAACCTTTCGAGTCACCTGGAAATAAAATGCATTATTGATTTCATCAACCTGACCTTTAGTTGAAGTCTACGAGGATTTTTGTTAAGGGGCTGGAGGACTGGACGCAAAGATGACCACTTCTGGTCATATGAATAAAGCATTGTTTCAGTGGGTGAGTTCAGGCATTACTTTGTCTTCCAGCCGACTTCGTCGCATCTTTGCTACACATCGATACATCTATCTTCTGCATAAACCATCCTCCCTTACTCCCCTCCCCCCCGCACTTTCCTAACAAAGACCGGTTTCTTAAGCTAACTGCACACCCTAAATCAGCCCAGTGGGATGTTTCTGTGTCGTCCTTTAATCACTGATCAAAGGCTCCTGATGCATTGAATGCCTTTGAACATTTTGGAGAGGCCGCCTCTATTGGTGGTCGTTCGGACCACGCAGTGATTGGTTAATCAGCCACTTACAGAGCAAGTAAAATTTACGCCGTACCTAATTTCCCATTCGATTAAGGTGTCGCACATTTGTAATATGTGTTATTGGCAGTTTGTGACAAGCGATATCGCATGACAAACAGACTGTTGAGGCTTGGAATAATTAAACTTCTAATTTCTGGCTGTCGATCTTCTTCGGATACTCCAGTAGTGAATGTGTTTTGGGCCAGATTTCCACGGGTTCATCATCCATTTCTGCCATTGGGACTTAGGACGGGCTGGGAGGCTCTAAGGTGAAGAACCATATCTAAATATCTGTCTATCAACAAACGCTGTTCTTTCTTGTCCGTGGCGAGGTGTCTTGTGGTGCTAAGTGAGCTAAATTTGCATTCTGTTGATTCAGTAGGTAATGGTAACGCTCCGGTTACAGGGTATTTTGTCTAATATACCACATTTTATCGGTACATTTCCCTCCCATCATTTTTTAATATTTTGTAAAAAACTACTGAACCCAGTTTCTTTTTTTAGCGATATCCAACGTGGCAGCATTTGCGTACACGCAGGAGGCTGGATGACGGAAGGGGGAGTAGGACGTTTCCGGTAAAAGGGCTCTTTATCACCCCAGATTATTCCTTCCATCAGACATCCGATATCTTGGAGAAAAACATAACTCAGAGACACCAATGGTTACTTCCTGCTGCTTCAGACGTCACATACTCAGGCGCATAGCATGCCCGCCTGCCATGTGGAGCAGTCAATTTGACGGGTCGGCTAGAAACAGGCCAGATGAAGCACACATTTATGAAGGCTGGATTCTCCAATGTATAGACAACTATTTGAATGAGTTGGACTGTCTATAATAGGAACTGCTGAGGAGCCCTAAAAATATGCATCAAATTTATGTCCGCTGTTGGGAATTTGGATCGGCTAGACTGCCCACGCAGCATTCGTTTATCTCTCCTTAGTCAAAAGAGTTGAAGGCTGGAAATTCTTGACTGGTAAACAAAAACAATGCACCCATTTTACAACCTTAGAAGTAGTAAAAGTTGGGAATAATAAAATTTTCCCTCGTGTAGTTGTCCTTTTTTCCCTTGTGACTACGTGATGCTGTCGTCTGGCTGCATATGCCTGTGTGTGTGTGTGTGCACGTCTCTCTGAGGCCGGGTTTGATTAATGACAGTGGGGTTTCAAGCTTGAAAACAGAAAAGGAGGGAAAATTTTTTCATTTTATCGTCGCTCTCTTTCCCTTCTCATCAAGCAAATGGACACTAGCCATTTTACCGGACGGGATCTTCCTGCCTGCACCCGAAAAATGCCCAAAAAATTTTACTTTTTTGCTTTAAAATTTCTTACAGGCGAATAATGTGTCATACCAATTTATCAAAATCTGCTGTTAGCATAGACATACAAATGGGCAACTTCTTATTACCTGTGTTGGAATGTGGGTGCTTGAACCTTCCTCCCAAACTTATCAGTGTGAGTCAGTTGGCCGGAATTTTTCCTCCGAAGAGAAGAATCCCGATTTAGGAGACTGGATAGAAAAGTAAGATTGTTTAGTCAGTGTTAGAGAAACAACGACAGCAAAAAAAGCAAATTTTGTGGAAAGATCAGCAGCTAATGAGCCAATTAAATAAGGGCAGTGTGGAGGCAGTCGCAGCAGTCTGGGTCGACGCAATTAGGGAAATGCCATTTACTAAACATGCACAAATGCCCCAAATACGACTGGTTTATTGTCGAAAAGAGAGGTTGAATTTTACTTAAATTTGCTCATTTTTGGGGCAAAGTCTTGACGTTTTGAAAACGAGCATCCGAATTCGCCACCGACAACGGAAATGTGATGTCGACCCACCTAGTGGACCGGAGGCCTTGGGATTAACGCCACACTAAAGGAGATATTCAAGCCCCAAAATGCGATTTTTCCAGTTTTTTTTCAAGAGCGAATGGTCAGGAGGAGAGAGACGCCTTTGACTCCTTACAAAGTATCACCGCTTGTACATTCCACCCGTCAATAATGAATGGAAGTCCTTACAAGCCGATCTTTTCCATCTAGAGAGCAGAAACAGGGGTCGTAACAAGGCATCAGTAAGAGTCGATGGAAAATTTCTTCCGTATTGCTTCAAAAAAAACTTGACTTAAATTAGTCCGGTGGCAAAAAAGACTGGCCTCCATCATATTATAAAAGACCTTGGGTTGATGAGTTCCAAAATGGTAGAAGGGAAAAAAGGCACAAGAGAGGAAGAAAATAGCCAAATTTCAGAACAAGTTAAACATTATCATATCAAATTTTGCCTTATTGGTAGTATTTTGCATTTTAAATAGTTGAATTAGAAACAACATTACCCAAATCCCATCAGAGACGCATTTTGGATAGTCAGAAAAGTATGCCCCAACCCTGGTCGACATTTTGACCAAAGTGTAATTGACGAGGTTTTCTGAATGGAAACCCTTCTCTATAATGGCTTCAGTCCCCATTAGTAGACAGCGCAATCAAAGGGATTAATGGATTTTCGTATGACCTTTCTAAGAGCCCCCTCGATAAGTTATAACGACAGAAGTCAGCAAGGGTGATCAGATGGCTGATTTAGCGCGGGCCGACGGCGATTAAGGGGTCCTTTAATCTCCCACACTTTCAGCTCATAAACCGCACAAAACAGTCAAGGTGTCTTGAAATTCCAACAAATAGATAAAAACTATTGTAATTCCTTCCTTTGACAACCATAGTTGCTCCCCCATAGATAAGTGCTGCCACTACCCTTTCCACGTCAAACATAGTCTTCACCTGCATTGCATTCTTCAGCTCAACCAACACGTTCAGCACACATGATTTGCTCCAACACCTATCACAGTTCAGCCATCAGGCACCGCTTACCTGTCGCTAGCACACTTCATGTGTGCTACTTGAGGTGCAGCCACGAATATGCAAATCCACGTGTCACATATGTGTGAAACTGCTAAACAACTGGTAACCAATGTCCGCATTCACCCACTCACTCCACTCACCCCACTCATTCATGCACACAACCATCCATCCATCCATCCATCCATCCATCCATCCATCCATCCATCCATCCATCCATCCATCCATCCATCCAT